GAATTAGTCAGGTATTTGAAAAATACCAACGTGAACGAGAACTAAGAAAGAAACAACGCCAAGAGAGGCGAGTTGGGCAAGTGGCTTCCAAGAGGGGAAGTCATGACGCGTGCTGGGCACATAGAGAGGGTACTAGAAATCCAAGTACCGAGAGTCCTTTTATAAGGGTCTCTAAATATCTTAAAGAGGCAAGGGCGCTCGGATGTAAACCGTTCGATGGAACGGGGGATATATCTGAGGCTGATGATTGGGTTAAGAGGCTTAATGAGGCAGCCAATGATATGCAATTGACGCCTAATCTAAAGATGAGAGTTGCCACTAGAATGTTGGAGGGATTGGCTTCAACATGGTGGGAGGGTGTCAAGGGGAAATACAACGGAGATGTCACGTGGGACAACTTTGAGCTTGAATTTTATAGACAATACTACTCTTCCTTTGAAGTAAATCAAAAGAGGAGGGAGTACACTACCATCAAACAAGGTGACGAGTACACCGTCAAACAATTGGAGCAAAAGTTTCGAGACTTGGCTAGATATCTTCCTGAATATGCAGGGAATGAGAACCGTATGGTCGACCACTTCTGGAACGCGTTGAATTTGGAAGTGCGTGAGAGGGCGGCGTACCAAAATAACATGACTTTTAATGAGGTGGTGACACGAGGCCTTATTGGGGAAGAATTATGGGAAGAAAGAAAGGCTAAAGATGCCGAGGAGGCTAGAAAGAGGATGTGGGAAATCAATGATTCCTATGATCAAAGCAAAAGACAAAATACCGGGGTGGAGAGAGGTTTTAAAATGCCTATGCCACCGTCAACGTACAATCAAGGGTCCGTGACCCAAGGAGTGAAATCCGTAAGTTCTAGGGTACGAAGATGTGATAATTGTGATAAGTACCACTATGGGACTTGTCGCGAACCAAAGAGGTGCTTCTTTTGTGGGGAGGCGGGACACATGAAGTTCCATTGTCCTCAACGGGGAAGTAACACTACTTCGGGAGCTAATGAAGGAACCATGGGGGATATGAACCTAGCGGGGCCGTCTCAAGCGAGCACACGACATAGAGGGGATAGTGTGAGCAACATACACCCCGGGAATCAAAGAAGAACTCAACGATGAGTACACACGAGGGAGAATACAATTTCTTGCATGGGCATGTCCACCGTTTCAGGTAATCCTTATCAAAAAACTTGATTTCAATGAATATTTAAGTTATGGGGGTTCCAGGGGTCAATTGCCGGCCGGCCTAAGGGAAAACCGGCCGGTTTGGCAAGGAAAACGAAAAACATTTTTGAAATGGCAAAAACCGGGCGGCTTGGGTGAAACCCGGCCGGCTTTGGGATTAAATAAAGTGGAATTAAGCTACGGCGGCGAAACCCGGCCGGCTTTTGTAAAGACCGGCCGGCTTACGGGGTTTGTGAAGTTTTGTAAACACTCAAAACCGCACGGCTTTGGAAAAGCCCGGCCGGTTTTGAGGATGAATAAAAACGAATTAAGCTGCGGCAAGGAAAAACCGGCCGGCTTTTGACGAAGACCGGCCGGCTTTGGATTGAATAAGTTTAATTAAACTTCGGGGGATGAAAACCGGCTGGCTTTCACAGAAACCGGCCGGCTTTTGGATTAAATTTTGGGGTTAAAGCTACGCTACTAAACCCCGGCCGGCTTTCATGGAAACCGGCCGGCTTACGGGGAAACTAATCGGAGACCTGGAATTGGGTACGAGAACCGGCCGGCTTTCATGGAAACCGGCCGGCATTTGGGTCATTTTTGGTAAATTAGTCTCCAAGCTAGAAAACCGGGCAGTTTATGGAAAGGTCGGATGGTTTTCGTATATCTCGAGCCCGGTACATCTTTGGGCCTTGAAATGAACCATTACAGGGTAAGTGGGTCTTGCATTGATTTGTGGTGTAAGAACGCTAGAGTTGAGCGGGGAGAATGATAAAATCATCCTTAATGCGGAGGCGCATTGGGTGAGTGTGAGAGGGCACTTGTAAACCGAAACGATATGACGGCCGATACACACTATTACATAACGATAGTAGTGAATGAAGAAAATTGAAAGAAGGGTCTAATATCCTTGAGTATGATTGAATCTCATAGGTTAGATCTTTGAGAAGTAATATGGGAGAAGAAAAGTGCTAGAGTTGGCTATTACACGAGAGGTTGAAAGCTCGGGGAAAATAAGGGCAGGGCCCTATGCTCCGAAGTTTAAACGAATAAGTTGAGTAATAAGAACATGTGTTACCCAAAGAGGGGGCAAGATTGATTATTACCGAGTAATATGGTTCGATACAAATAACGACCGATGTGATGGTCACAACACCAAATTGATTCGCCGTATATGTTACTCGTTATTGTATGAGTATCAGAAACTCGTAAGAGGATAACCAGATTCTGAGAAACTAAATGGAAGTTCAGTGATTTTGTCCATCCACCTATGGGTGGGTAGCACGTTTATGTGAGGCGAACATTAGAGTCAAGGATGACTACTTATTTTCGAAATCCCACGAGAGTTGGGACGGATGTTTGATACGTGGAAATCTTTCCTGTAGCAATAGCTACTGTGCGAACATAAGGTCGTCTCCACAGGGAGCGTTGTATGTGAGACAGTTAGCGTAACTGGAAGATGATGAAATTCGGGTCATGCTCCGGGCACTCCTTAAGGGAGGATCCGAGGTGACTTAAGGCTCGTCTATGGGTTGTATCTTGATGGGGTATTGAAAGACGACATGAGTTGAGGGCTCGATTATCCTTGATCTACCCAACTAGTATGAGGATACTAGCCGGGAGGTAAATACAAATAATGGTAGGATTAATCCTAAGGATTCGGATAGTGAGATATTGAACCTTAAGTAGTCTTAAGAGATGCTAAGGTGGACATGTATAACTTTAAGTTATACTAGGGGTAGGCCTTAAGGGATACCCAAGATAAAAGTGAATAATAAATTGATCCTAGATGTAGGATTGACCTTCGGGTGTTTTCGGTAGTCCTTAAGGATAATCGGTTGGATTATGGTAATAAGTAAGGACCATGGCCCTTCCCGACTCTAGAGAGCGGGGTTGGATAGCATGGACTTGCAATGTAACAGTGCATAAGGGTGGAATCCGAATCGGAGACCTAACGAGGCTCCGACAGCGGTAACACATAAGATAGGACCCCGAATGGGCCTTACCTTCCTACGAGATGATAGGTATGAGTCCAGGGGCGGGATGTTGGACTCCGGCCCGAGGGCCCGACGAGGCCTCGGATAGCGGTGACAAATCTCGTAAAGGATGATAAGACCTACGGGCGGTGTCGTGCTAACGATGAATGAAATGAAACATGAGCACGGGCCAACGGGCCAACTACATAACGGTATGCGAGTAAGTAAGTTTTACAACGGGGTATGCTAAACCCATATTAGTTAAGGCCACTTGGGAATTCTAGAAAGAATTGACGCCCAAGTGGGGAAGGACTTGTTATTCTGTAGTTAGATGGAGTAGCATCTAAATGAAAAAAAAAAACCAAAGGGGTACGTCAGTATGAATGAAAATGTCTAAGGACAACAATGATAAAATGGTTAAACTATGTTATAAAATGATCAAGTCAACGAAGAGACTTGAAAAAGTATGTACTCTAAAAATAGAGTGGCGTCAGTTGAAATGAAAATACGACGTGAATTTCGGGGACGAAATTCCTGTTAAGGGGGGTGAACTTGTAACACCGCTCCCAATTTAAACTTGGATTTTTAAATCCATTGATAAAAAAAAAATTAATTAAGTGAAAGTACAAATACTAATTTCGATGAGGATAATTAGTTAAAGTCATGAATGTATGTTCACCTTGAAAACTAGCTACAAGTATATTGATCATACTAGAAATGATTAATTGATTAAATTAATACCGATTAATTAAATTGTGGTCGGACCCCAAACATGGGGAGGGACTAACTAATATACATTCTTGGACCAAGATAAATTAAATAAAAAGCCCAAGGATGAGGAAGTAAGTAAAATATAACAGTTGGGCCGAATAAAAGGTAGAGAAATAAGACGAGAGACTATTTGAGTCCACTTACTAGTAATAGAAATATAATTGGGTATGAGCCCGAATAGTGGAGAGGACCATCCAATACATTTTAGGACCGACCTATTAAGGCCACTAGCCTAAAATAATATAAATAAATGGATAAGAGTTGTGACACCGCACCCGAACGTCCTTGAAAAATTCAAGTTAAAAATTCAAAGTTTATGTATTGAATTTCTGATTCCCAAACAATTGTAAATGATCGATTATTATACCGTCCGAACTCGCATATTAGTGCCGGGCTTGTGAATACTCATTTGGGCCTTATTAATAAATAAACGTGCCTAACATTATCTATATAGTGATACATAACGTTTCAAGACAAGTCGAGGAAGGGCGGGCGGCCCAGATATTATTTTGGGCTCAACCTGCTAAAAATAGCAAGTATTCGAGAATGGCATCCTAGACCGAATCGGGAGTGACCCACACGGCTTATAGCCCAATAATATGAATGACAATGTCAAAATAAGGGATAGAATGACTAGGGAAGCATACAAATGCCTATAACCCCATCTTTGGCATTATTGAGCTAAATAATGGGAGTAAGATTTTCCTTCTACAATGTCCATCTTGTAAATGATTGGGATGATCCTACACATATTGGAGATCAATAATGTGATGTAGGAAGTTGACTTGTTCTAAATAAATTAGGATGAGTACAAAAAGACATCTTTTGACAAAGATAAAACAATAGGACCCATCCTTCCATTTTTGAGTGTATTGATAGATATTTTGGATCCCAAAATAATTGGGATCAATGGGGAACCACTCCACATGATATTAGTACCTGCAAGACAAGGAAAATATGTGAGAAGACTCACCTTGGCTCACATGCACAAAAACTCCAAGAGAAAACAAAAGAGGGAGGTCCACCCCATATTTGATTGCAAACCAAATATCTCCCATGTTCTTTTGTGAGCCACATACTCTTTTAGCATGTTTAGGGTCTCCTAATACACTCCCCCTACACCCCATTCGAACCCCCAAAGAGATAAGAGAGCAAGGGAGTCCACACAACCCAAGAGAGAAAGAAGGAGGAGAGCAGTCCGCAGGTTCGTTCTTCAGTGCGTAGCTCTGATTGTTTGAGCCATAACTTGAGATTTACTCATCCAAATAAGGCGTGCGAGATACCAACAGAAAGCTCTCAAGACGAGGAACCCGTGAAGGTCTGGTTTGCATCAATCGGAGTAGTGGAAGGCTTCCAAATCGACCGAGCAAAACACGACCTCGCAGAATACGTTTTGTATTCAAAGTAAGTTTGAATCCAAAACCTTCCTCTCTATTGTCTAAACCATATAAGTGATTGAAGAACTATTATACACTGATTGAAGTGTATAAAATGTTATTATAAAGTGACTTTAATTGTTGGAAAAGTTAGATACTAATCTAGACAAAACCTTGAAAGGTTAGGGAACGATTTCGTCGGGAGACACCCGTTCTAGGGACTGTTTTGTGCCTTCGGTTAGGAGTTGAACTAGCACTTTGAAGAGGCTGTTTAACACTCAATTCCAAGCAAGGAATCAGTCCTCAATCTTCCTTGGCCGAGGCTTGGGTCATTGGATCGAGAAGGAAAGTTTTAAAGCTCATTTGAGGTGAGGATCGACATCTAGTTGCTTACAACTTGTAGGTTAAGCATGAGATTACCTAAATGCCTAAATAATGTTTTCCATGGATTATGATGATAAATTATTGATGGAATATTGATCTATTTTCCAAAGAATGAAATGAGAAATGATTTGGTAAAGTATAGACAAAAATGGAGTTAAATGAACTATTGTGTGAAATAGGCATTTTACTCATGTGTGAATTGTGTAGATACATAAATGATTATTTATGTATTACATTGAATGATTAAGTTGCTGCTACATATCTCTAAATATGTAGGGTTTTACAAATGGAATATATGATGGATAAGAATAATCTTAATAGTATTGAAATACTAGTTAATGATTGTTGTAATTGTTAAGGGAATTGAATCTAAGGATTTGATTACAATTGATGTACTTGATTGTGATGCAAGTGACAAATTTGATGTAATGTGATGCTAAGACCATGGTTGGGCAGTCCGTAGGGATGTCCCAAAATAGATTATTGATATTACAATTCTAGGCATAGTGAGTGCTTAGGAATTGGGGTCTATGCCAATGTAAGGAGATGTACTTGAGCCCGTGCTCATAGAATTGCATTGGGTAGACATGATGAGGTGATTGTTGTGCATGGTGATGTAGTCGAGTTGGACTCGAGAAATGCATGGTGGAGTAGTTAGCTTATGTTAATAAGGGTGCATGGTGATGTAGTCGAGTTGGACTCGAGAATGCAAACATGTGTGTTAGGGTTGAACCCTATGTATTGTTGTGACTAGGGGTCACGGGATTTTGGGGTATGTTTGATAAACAAACCTTGGGCCTACGGGCCGACTACTTGACTTTATATGTAAAGTAAGTATATTTTAAAACGGGGTAACTTGGGGTTACGGCCTAGATTATATTATCACCCTATTTGAGGGTCTTGTGTTTGAAATACTTGTTGTATATCTATTAGATGCCATCCACACCAGCACTTTATAGCCCTATAGAGTGCTGACCCCTTCGGGGGCGTCCCACCACCATTTTTCAGGTTGAGGCTAGAGCTTGCTTCCTGTGCTCGTTGCTCGAGAGATCATCTAGGAGCGAAGACTTGGTTCGTGCTTCCTCCATTCGGATTTTAAACATTAATAAACATGCTCATGGATATTTTACTACGGAGCCTGCGTGCTCATGAATAGCCCGGTGTGGCCTTTTTGTTTTAAACAATGTTTTCCGCTGCATTATGAATTACTTATTATGTTTGTTTATGGATGGCTTACGTGTGAATGATATTCGAGACGCCTTGTATAATATGAATGTGTTGGACTGCGGTTGACTATTCGTATTGTACGGCGGGTTGTTGACGTGTCCGGGGAGGTCCGGGGCGTGACAATTAAGTTGGTATCAGAGCCTTAGTCCATAAACTTCATAACGAAGTCTCAAAATTCCTTTTTTCAAAATGATTTTGAAAACCATGAGCATAGAAAATGTTTTGTACTTAAGAACTTTTGGTGTTTGAGTTGCAAGGTCTCTAATTGTTAAGATGGCGCCCTTAACGATTGGTATGGCGGTGACTTGGCCCAAGAGATGTCTTAAGTGCCTATCTGTCAGTTGACATTTGAAACGAGTCTAATGACTCATTCTAATTATTTCTTTCAGCGATGGAGGGTGATGGTGGTATTATGAATAGGGAGAACTCGGAAGGGCTTGCACCGGGTGGAACCGGGCATGCCAACCGAGAAAAGCCCTTAGGACCAAAGGTGCATGAAATTCTTGAAGCTCAAATCGTGAGTGGTGGTCATGTTAAGACCAAGGAAGAATCACCTTGTTATGGCAAAACTGAACCACTCAAGGCTTCGGGTGACGAAGGAGATGATTTGAGTGATGAGGACCTTGATAATGCACCCATTGAACAAATGGGCATGGTCATAAATTGGTTTCAACGTGAACGTGCTAGGCTTATACAAAAACGGCAAGCTAGGCAAGCTAAGGACGCACCATTAGGAAGGAAAAGAAAATGGGGAGACCACGACCCCCAAGGACATTCTAGGAGGACAAATGTTGAGGGTGACAAAACCTTCGGGGCACACACATTATCGCTTGGGAGGAGTCGAGGCTCGGGTGGCCAGAGCTCGAGGTCAAAAGGTTCGAGAGTACCTAAGTGCACAAATTGTAAGAAGCACCACCCGGGTAAGTGTTGGGACCCTCCTAGGTGCTACCGATGCAGAGAGATCGGGCACACGAATGCGAATTGCCCACAACTTGTACCCGACCAAACTTTGGGCTCAAGTAGTACGACTATAGGCATACGGAATCAAGCCGGGACTTCACAAGCATCCAGGGGGCAAGGGGGAGCAAGCGCAAGCAACGCGCCGTCCGTGAATCAAGGAAGGACTCAAGCTAGGGTCTACGCGATGACGGAGGCGGATGCTCGAGCTAACCCGGATTCCGTTGCAGGTATTGCCTCTCGTACACTAGTGTTTTATCTTTAATTAGTCCATAAATTGAAGTTATAAATCCTAGAATCCAGGTGGGAGCAGACGTAAGATTGAAATGGGAAAGGAGAGCAAAACCATGCTACTACCCGACCGGGGTAGGGCAATAAACCCTACCGGGTGGGACGAGTTTTTGCCCTCGTAAACCTTCTGGATCGCATACCCGATCGGGTTTGGTAATGAACCCGACCGGGTAGGCCAAGTTTTTTCACTCATAAGTCCACTGGAACACATACCCGACCGGGTATGGTGGTATACCCGACCGGGTTTGCCAAAACATTTCTGCCCGACACCTTCTGGAACACATACCCGACCGGGTATGGTGGTATACCCGACCGGGTTTGTCAAAAATTTCTTCCCGACACTTTCTGGAACACATACCCGACCGGGTATGGTGGTAAACCCGACCGGGTTTGTCAAAAAAAAAAAATTCTGCCCGAACCCACTGGAACTTATACCCGATCGGGTATAGTATGTTACCCGACCGGGTACACCTCGAAGTGTTCGTCAAATGAAAAAGTTGTCTTCATGAAAGTTGTAGATATTTTCATTGTCTAAATGATGGAATTTGAATCGAACGATTTGGTTAAGTATGTGAAGAGATATGATCAAAACGGTGAGACAGTGTCAATTTATATCTCAACTGCGAACGTCAACCATAATTGGGGGATTTTGCCCACTTTAAGGACATGATTTCGCATTATGTTCTTCGTAGGATTGGTCGGTATGTTAGAGAGGTATCTTACATGGCTTATAGATGTAGGAACACTAAAGATTAATGGGAGATGTGCGAGGATCCTCATCGATACCGGGGCGCAACGATCATTTGTGAGTGAGGCATTCGCCGGGGGATTCAACGCACCCCTAGTACCGATGGCTCAAGCCCTATTGGTATCCACACCCCTAGGGGAAGACATCGAGAGAGATAGCCACTATCCATCGTGTGAGGTGGAAGTGGAGGGCCAAAACTTGTCGTGTGATTTCGTGCCGCTGAGTATGATTGAGTTCGATGCAATCCTGGGGATGGATTGGCTTGAGAAGCATCATGCTAGGGTCGATTGTTACACGAAAGTACTTGAACTCGAAGGCAATGAAGGGGTAACCTTACGCTTCGAGGGGGATAGGGCAAAATCCAATAGTTGTATCATATCCGCTGTGAGGGCTAAGAATATGATGAGGAAGGGATGTCACGCATATCTAGCGTATGTGGTGGACAAAACCAAAGAAGAGACGAGTATTGATGATGTTAGGGTAGTATGCAAGTATCGGGACGTCTTTCCTAAAGACTTACCGGGGCTGCCACCTGACAGGGAGATTGAATTTGTGATCGAGGTCGAGCCTGGTACCAAACCAATCTCCATACCGCCATACCGTAGGGCACCCGCTGAACTTAACAAGTTGAAAACCCAATTGCAAGAGCTTTTGGATAATGGTTTCATTAGACCAAGCCACTCCCCGTGGGGAGCACCGGTTCTTTTTGTGAAAAAGAAAGATGGGACACTTCGAATGTGCATTGACTATCGTCAACTGAACAAGGTCACAATCAAGAATAGGTATCCTTTGCCTAGAATTGATGACTTGTTTGACCAACTACGAGGGGCAACCGTGTTTTCAAAGATTGATTTGAGGTCGGGTTACCATCAGTTGAAGATTAAGGAAGACGACATACCAAAGAGTGCTTTCCGCACAAGGTATGGGCATTTTGAGTTCCTTGTTATGTCGTTTGGGTTAACAAACGCCCCGACGGCATTCATGGACTTGATGAACCGAGTATTCCATAAATACTTGGATCGATTCGTGATTGTGTTCATAGATGACATCTTGATTTACTCAAAGAGTGAGGAAGAGCATGAAGAGCACTTGATACTCGTTCTTGAGACACTACGGGAGAAGCAACTCTATGCCAAATTTTCTAAGTGTGAATTTTGGCTAAAGGAGATTGGCTTTCTCGGGCACGTGGTTTCAGGATCGGGAATTGCTGTCGATAACAAGAAGATAGAGGCCATTACCGAATGGGAGAGGCCGAAGAACGTCAAGGAAATTCGTAGTTTCCTTGGATTGGCAGGCTACTACAGAAAGTTCGTGGAGAAGTTCTCTGTTTTGGCATCACCATTGACGAAGCTCACTCGTAAAGGAGCTAAGTTTGTATGGGATGACAAATGTGAGAAAGGGTTCATGGAACTAAAGAAGAGATTGACCGAGGCACCGGTACTTGCATTACCCAAACAGGGTGTGGGGTACGATGTCTATAGCGATGCGAGCATCCAAGGGTTTGGGTGTGTGTTGATGCAGGAGGGGAGAGTAATTGCCTATGCTTCACGACAGTTGAAGAAGCATGAGGTAAATTACCCTACCCATGACCTGGAGCTGGGAGCAGTAGTGTTTGCACTGAAGATTTGGAGACATTATCTCTACGGAGAGACATGTCACGTATATACTGATCATAAAAGCTTGAAGTACGTGTTTACTCAGAAAGAGTTAAACATGAGACAGAGACGGTGGATGGAGTTGATAAAGGACTACCATCTAGTTATTGAGTACCATCCAGGCAAGGCAAACGTTGTAGCAGATGCCCTGAGTCAGAAGAGTTCGTCTGGGGCATTGTTGACTAGTTTGAGGGCACTGAGGGCCCAATTGGATGTATCTAGCGACGGTGCCTTATTGGCACGATTTGAAGTGAGACCGACCTTACTTGATGAGATCAAGAAGGCTCAAGTGACTGACGCAGAACTTATGAAGGTCCGGGAACGCATGCAAGCGGGACCAGTGGAGGATTTCAGGGAAAGAGATGATGGCCTTTTGTTATTTCGTGACCGAGTGTGTGTACCGCCTGATGAGGAGCTCCGTAAGTCCATCTTAGAGGAGGCTCATTTATCGTCTTATGCCATGCACCCAGGGGGCACAAAAATGTATCGTGATCTGAAAGAAAGTTACTGGTGGTCTGGTATGACGAAGGAAATAGCTGAATACATTAGTCGATGCCTTACTTGTCAGCAAGTTAAGGCAGAACATCAGCAAGAAAGGTGAAGAAACAGAGGAGTAAAGAAGTCCCAATGGTTAAAGTACTTTGTAAGAGCGACCGGGTCGAAGAAGAGACATGGGAAACAGAGGCTTTGATGAGGAAGCAGTATGCTTTCCTATTCGAGTAGAGCTGTGAATTTCGGGGACGAAATTCCTGTTAAGGGGGGGTGAACTTGTGACACCGCACCCGAACGTCCTTGAAAAATTCAAGTTAAAAATTCAAAGTTTATGTATTGAATTTCTGATTCCCAAACAATTGTAAATGATCGATTATTATACCGTCCGAACTCGCATATTAGTGCCGGGCTTGTGAATACTCATTTGGGCCTTATTAATAAATAAACGTGCCTAACATTATCTATATAGTGATACATAACGTTTCAAGACAAGTCGAGGAAGGGCGGGCGGCCCAGATATTATTTTGGGCTCAACCTGCTAAAAATAGCAAGTATTCGAGAATGGCATCCTAGACCGAATCGGGAGTGACCCACACGGCTTATAGCCCAATAATATGAATGACAATGTCAAAATAAGGGATAGAATGACTAGGGAAGCATACAAATGCCTATAACCCCATCTTTGGCATTATTGAGCTAAATAATGGGAGTAGGATTTTCCTTCTACAATGTCCATCTTGTAAATGATTGGGATGATCCTACACATATTGGAGATCAATAATGTGATGTAGGAAGTTGACTTGTTCTAAATAAATTAGGATGAGTACAAAAAGACATCTTTTGACAAAGATAAAACAATAGGACCCATCCTTCCATTTTTGAGTGTATTGATAGATATTTTGGATCCCAAAATAATTGGGATCAATGGGGAACCACTCCACATGATATTAGTACCTGCAAGACAAGGAAAATATGTGAGAAGACTCACCTTGGCTCACATGCACAAAAACTCCAAGAGAAAACAAAAGAGGGAGGTCCACCCCATATTTGATTGCAAACCAAATATCTCCCATGTTCTTTTGTGAGCCACATACTCTTTTAGCATGTTTAGGGTCTCCTAATACACTCCCCCTACACCCCATTCGAACCCCCAATGAGATAAGAGAGCAAGGGAGTCCACACAACCCAAGAGAGAAAGAAGGAGGAGAGCAGTCCGCAGGTTCGTTCTTCAGTGCGTAGCTCTGATTGTTTGAGCCATAACTTGAGATTTACTCATCCAAATAAGGCGTGCGAGATACCAACAGAAAGCTCTCAAGACGAGGAACCCGTGAAGGTCTGGTTTGCATCAATCGGAGTAGTGGAAGGCTTCCAAATCGACCGAGCAAAACACGACCTCGCAGAATACGTTTTGTATTCAAAGTAAGTTTGAATCCAAAACCTTCCTCTCTATTGTCTAAACCATATAAGTGATTGAAGAACTATTATACACTGATTGAAGTGTATAAAATGTTATTATAAAGTGACTTTAATTGTTGGAAAAGTTAGATACTAATCTAGACAAAACCTTGAAAGGTTAGGGAACGATTTCGTCGGGAGACACCCGTTCTAGGGACTGTTTTGTGCCTTCGGTTAGGAGTTGAACTAGCACTTTGAAGAGGCTGTTTAACACTCAATTCCAAGCAAGGAATCAGTCCTCAATCTTCCTTGGCCGAGGCTTGGGTCATTGGATCGAGAAGGAAAGTTTTAAAGCTCATTTGAGGTGAGGATCGACATCTAGTTGCTTACAACTTGTAGGTTAAGCATGAGATTACCTAAATGCCTAAATAATGTTTTCCATGGATTATGATGATAAATTATTGATGGAATATTGATCTATTTTCCAAAGAATGAAATGAGAAATGATTTGGTAAAGTATAGACAAAAATGGAGTTAAATGAACTATTGTGTGAAATAGGCATTTTACTCATGTGTGAATTGTGTAGATACATAAATGATTATTTATGTATTACATTGAATGATTAAGTTGCTGCTACATATCTCTAAATATGTAGGGTTTTACAAATGGAATATATGATGGATAAGAATAATCTTAATAGTATTGAAATACTAGTTAATGATTGTTGTAATTGTTAAGGGAATTGAATCTAAGGATTTGATTACAATTGATGTACTTGATTGTGATGCAAGTGACAAATTTGATGTAATGTGATGCTAAGACCATGGTTGGGCAGTCCGTAGGGATGTCCCAAAATAGATTATTGATATTACAATTCTAGGCATAGTGAGTGCTTAGGAATTGGGGTCTATGCCAATGTAAGGAGATGTACTTGAGCCCGTGCTCATAGAATTGCATTGGGTAGACATGATGAGGTGATTGTTGTGCATGGTGATGTAGTCGAGTTGGACTCGAGAAATGCATGGTGGAGTAGTTAGCTTATGTTAATAAGGGTGCATGGTGATGTAGTCGAGTTGGACTCGAGAATGCAAACATGTGTGTTAGGGTTGAACCCTATGTATTGTTGTGACTAGGGGTCACGGGATTTTGGGGTATGTTTGATAAACAAACCTTGGGCCTACGGGCCGACTACTTGACTTTATATGTAAAGTAAGTATATTTTAAAACGGGGTAACTTGGGGTTACGGCCTAGATTATATTATCACCCTATTTGAGGGTCTTGTGTTTGAAATACTTGTTGTATATCTATTAGATGCCATCCACACCAGCACTTTATAGCCCTATAGAGTGCTGACCCCTTCGGGGGCGTCCCACCACCATTTTTCAGGTTGAGGCTAGAGCTTGCTTCCTGTGCTCGTTGCTCGAGAGATCATCTAGGAGCGAAGACTTGGTTCGTGCTTCCTCCATTCGGATTTTAAACATTAATAAACATGCTCATGGATATTTTACTACGGAGCCTGCGTGCTCATGAATAGCCCGGTGTGGCCTTTTTGTTTTAAACAATGTTTTCCGCTGCATTATGAATTACTTATTATGTTTGTTTATGGATGGCTTACATGTGAATGATATTCGAGACGCCTTGTATAATATGAATGTGTTGGACTGCGGTTGACTATTCGTATTGTACGGCGGGTTGTTGACGTGTCCGGGGAGGTCCGGGGCGTGACAAGAGTCATTTGGGATGGACCGAGTAAACAAAGTGGCATTCTTTCCCCAACTTACCGAAAATAGCGAGTATGAGGGTGAAGGGCTTCCTACACTTTAATTCGGGGTATTCCGTATAAAGTGTAGACCACAATCAACAGGAGAATTAAATTATAAATAGCTTCGGGCCGGATTAATTAAAATAAACAGCCCATGAACCCAACTAAAAAGAGAAGGGATAAGAGAGGGAGCCTCATCCTCTCCTCTCATTTTTGCACCTTACGTATGGGAGCTAGGAAAGAGGGAGGGAATTCTTGAGAGCTCTATACACACACACCACCAAGAATCAAGAAGGAAGAAGGTCAAGGAGGGGAGCAATCCAGGCAAAACAAGTCCTAGAAGTAAGAATCTCATAGCTATGGTTATTGTTCTTCCTTTTTATATAGTTTTCGTATATGATTTTATAGAAATCATATGATGGATTCTAGGGAATGTTCTACACGTTTAAAAGTGTGGAAATATGATATAAAGAGTTGGTAATTAACTTAGAAGAGTTGTTGAATCGATAGGAATCGAAATCGCCGGAAACCGCCACTTCTAGGTGCTGTTTTCGTGCAGCAGAACCCGAAAGCCGAGCAGCTTTTGCAAAAGCCGGGCGGCTTTTGCCCTCTGCCAGCCAAGATTGATTCAAATCATTCCCGATCGAAGGTTTAACGACGGGGCTTCAATAGGCAACCTTGCTGGACTTATTTAAGGTGAGGATGGCTGACTATATTGTCTATAACTCGTGAGTTGAGCATGAGATTACCTAAGTAATCAAATTATGATTTTGATGGAATTAAATGATATACTCCAATGTGAATAAATGTGTTGCTATGTGGTCATACAAATTGATACATGATATTACTAAGGTGGATAAGCAAAGGCATTATGCATGAGGGGAGAAATCCTTGAAATATATTAATTATTGAATTGATATAGAGGATTAGCATGATATAGACAAATGTTGATAAATGTGTGATTCCATAAGATCTTAAAAGGGATATATGGATACCTATGTGGATAGGCAAAATGATTAAATGCGAAGTAAGGAATACTTGAGTTATTTACATGATCAAAGTGATATGAATCCGTAGTGATTAATTGTATGTGCTATCTATAGTATTGAATTAGATAAGCATGAACTTAGAATGAGTGATGGACTATGGTCACACTCAAAGGAAATGGTGGAGTCTACCTAGACTATATGAAGGTAGCCCGGGGAGTCTTGATGAAGACTAGCCCGAGGTTGATAGATTATGATTGCTCGTGTACAATGAGTATACGGGGATATATATACGGGGTGTGTAAGCCCTAACGAGATAAAGGATATTACGCGGGGTGTGTAAGCCCTACACGAATAAAGCATTACGCGGGGTGTGTAAGCCCTAATGAATAAAGTATTACGCGGGGTGTGTAAGCCCTAATGAATGAAGTATTATACGGGGTGTGTAAGCCCTACATGATAAAGTATTACGCGGGGTGTGTAAGCCCTAAATGAGTAAAGTATTACGCGGGGTGTGTAAGCCCTAAATGAGTAAAGTATTATACGGGGTGTGTAAGCCCTACACAAACTAAGAATATACGGGGTGTGTAAGCCCTAAATGAATCAAAGATATAATGCTGGGGGTGTAAGCCCAAAATGAATGAATACACCCGTAGGGTGGGTAAGTCCAACGTGGACGAGTACAAATGATAAAATGTGTAACCCTCTCGATGGAGTTGGGTTTAGACTAGGGGTGGGATAACCTCTCGATATTGCTATATGCAAGAATAGGCCAAGGGCTATACAAGGGGAATTGTTTTGAAATACAAATGGACCTACGGGTCGGCTATTTGACTTGGTATATATATTCTATACAAGTGATTTGAAATGGGGTAGCTGTAGGTTATGCCCATAATATAGTATCACCCTATTTTGAGGGTCTTGTGTTTGAAACATGAATTATATTCAGTATAGTTGTCATTGTACTTGTCAAATGCTTCCAAGTACTGACCTCCCCTTCACGGGGGAGGCCACCTCACAGTTTCAGGTAGAAGCTAGAGCTTGCTTCCTGTTCCCGTTGCTTCGGGTGATCCATGGAGAGAAGACGTGGTTCGTGCTTCTTCCAGTTCTATTTTGATATAAATAAAATAATGCTCATGAATTATTTTTAAATTATAAATGATTTGGGAGCCTGCGTGCTCATGTTCGCCCTGTGTGGCCTTTTACTTTTAAAAGTATTTGTATTCCGCTGCGTATATTTGAAATGCTTTATTTATGATTGTTTATGGATGTACTTGTGTGAATGGTATTCATGTACGCCTAGCATGATTCGAGTAGGGTGAACTGCGGTTGCCTTAATCGGATTATGCGGCGGTTGTTAGCGCGTCCGGCCAGACCGGGGCGTGACAGATTCAACCCCCCAACTCATTTCACTTAATGCATCTTCCCAAATTCCAATTAAGTTGTCAAAGGATGGGTGTAATTACTCTTCCTGGAAATCTCAAATTACCAATCTTCTTTTTGGTTATGATCTCTTAGGTTACGTCGATGGCACTAAACCGTGCCCAAAATCCGATGACACCACCTACACCTTTTGGTCTCGACAAGATCGTCTCGTACTTCTAGCCATCCAATCTACGGTGACAGTCAACATATGCCCAATCATCAATTCGTGTGCTACTTCGGCCGCTGCATGGCAAAAGCTGGAATCCAGCTTTGCTAATACCTCTACAACACGTATGCTATCTCTTCTCTCAACCCTCATGAATACCAAGAAAAATGGTAAAACTGTCACGGAGTACATGAACACTTTGAGGACCCTTATTGATGATCTCGTCACTATCGGTCACCCTCCTAGTGACGGCCAAATTGCGTCTTATGTCCTTGGCGGCCTTGGTGGTGAATTCAAAGATCTTGTTGGAGCGTTGCGTGTGCAGGCCAAACCTCCTTCCTTTGAAGATCTCTGCCACTATCTACAGGATGCGGAACTTCTCTCTGGAGAGTCCACTGCCACCTTCGACGTCCCTGTTACCGCCCAATATTCTCAACGCTGGAACAATTTCCGTGGCCGCGGCGGCCGCGGCGGACGTGGCAGCACCTCGGCTATTAACCACTATCAAGGGTTTGGTCATCACAGTTCTCCCGACTCTCCTACCGGCTCTTCAAATCGCTCTCCTAATAAGTCATCCGTTCAATGCCAAATATGTGACAAATTTGGTCATATTGCCAAGAATTGTTACTCTTACAAAGGTTTCCCACCGAGAGCTCACAACGTCACTAGCAATGATCCAGGGACTAACACCGGTTGGCTTCTTGATGCTGGAGCCACTCATCACATCACCTCCGATTTAAGCAATCTGAGTGTTCACTCCGACTACAATGGCTCCGACTCTGTTGCTATGGGTAATGGTAAGGAAATACCAATCACACACATTGGATCGTCGGTGCTTAATTCACCCGATTCCACTTTTAAACTCACTAATGTTTTGTGTGCACCTAAAATTCGTCGCAATCTCATTTCCGTCAATCAATTTTGCACTCAAAATAATACTTCCATTGAGTTCTCACCCACTTCTTTTGTTGTGAAGGATCTCACCACGGGAGCATTCTTGGCCCGCGGCCGGAGTGATAAAAATCTTTATAACTGGTCCACTCTCACGCCTCACGCATATATTGCCTCGTCTCCTGATCTTTGGCATCAACGACTGGGTCACCCATCTTCCTTCACCCAACGTCAAATAACTGGAGTTTCTCCTTCCAAAGTTGCTTGTGATTCTTGTCTTCGAGCTAAATGCCACAAATTACCATTTAGTAATTCCTCAATAAATTGTACGAGTCCATTTCAATTTATTTATTCTGATGTATGGGGCCCAGCTCCAACTCTTGGATTTAATAATTCTCGATTTTATGTCATTTTCGTTGATTATTATTCCAAGTATTCGTGGCTTTTCCCTATTAAATATAAATCTGATGTTTCCTCAGTATTCAATAAATTTCGGGCCTTAATTGAAAATTATTTTGGGACCAAAATTAAGACTATTTACACAGATGGTGGGGGGGGGGGGGGATTCTCAGCCTTATCCCCTATTTTAGCCCAACATGGCATACAACATCTCGTTTCACCTCCCTACACACCACAACATGTAGGCTCAGCCGAAAGAAAGCACCGTCATGTTATTGAAATTGCCTTAACATTACTCTTTCATGCATCCGTACCTCTCTGTTACTGGCCCTGTGCATTTCAATATGCCACTTATCTCATAAACCGTCTTCCTACACCACTCTTAAAAAATCAAAGTCCATTTTTTACACTCTTCGGTGATTTACCTAAATATGACTGCCTTAGAGTATTTGGTTGCCTCTGTTATCCATGGCTTCGTCCATACACTACTCATAAATTACAACCCCGTTCTCAACCATGTATTTATCTCGGTTTTTCTACTACCCATCACGCGCATATTTGTCTTGACCATAATACTAAAAAATATACATCTCTCGACATGTTGTATTTTTTGAATCCCAATTCCCATACCGTACACCAAATTTCGTCCCTATTCCACCATACTCGGTCTTACACTCATTCACAAAAAAACCTCCTATTAAATCTATCCTTCCCCAACCGCCCAACCATAATCCCACTTCAACCTTATCTCCTCATCACCTTATTCCTCTCAACCCACGTGTCTCTCCCCCTTTGTCTTCTCTTATCCCAACAACCACACATAATTCCCAAAGTCCCACTCAACCACATTCTCTCCCCTCCCCACAAATATCGTTCCCCACCCATGATATTTCTAATTCTACCAATTTTCTAGCTTCACCACCTCAAACCGAAATAACACCAATCCACTCTCCAACACCACCCACGTGTTCCCCAAGTCCACCTCACCAATCCTCCTC